TATCTGGTACAGGCAGAGCTTGTGAGGAAGCACTCATGTTACTACAACAGAAGTAAATCTGAAATCTGAAATCTGCAGATCAGAAGCAAAAACAAAAAAAGTGTTGGAGAAACAAGTCCAATGTGAAGAAGAGTCATAGTAGACTGGAAACCTTAACACTGTCTCTCTCTCTCTCACGAGATGTTGCCAGGTGTGGTTCAGTAGCACTGTTGATGACACTTTCCATCACTTTATTGATGATCCAGAGTAGACTATTGGATTTGTCCTGTTTTATGTGCACAGGACGTTACAAGGAAATTTCCCACGTTGTTGGGTAGATGTCAGTGTTGTGATCGATCTGATACTCCACATTCCCACCCAACCCTGGAAATCTTCCACCCTTTTGCTTATCAAGAATCCATCCACTTCTCCTTTAAAAATTTCCAGACTGTGCCTCCACTGCCTTTTGAGGAAGACTGTTCCAAAAGAAGACACTGCAAACAAATTTCTCTTCACCTGCCTTAAATGGACAACTTCTTCATTTTAAACAGTGATCCCTAGTTCTAGATTCTCCCACAACAGGAGATCTCCTTACCGTATCCAACTTGTCAAGACACCTCCAGATCTTATATGTTTTAATCAATCATATCTTCCTCTCCTAAGCTCCATAGTTGGAGAAGGGGCAACATTTGAATATTGGAGATGATCGTAAAATAGGGAGTTGGCTAGTACATGCGGATGTGAATTTTATGTTAAAGTGCTGGTAGACTGCGAGACAACACAGATCAGTGAAGATAGTGGTGATGATATAATTGGGCCAAACCGGCATATAAACACACAAACCTGTGAATTAGCAGAAGTAGACCATTTGACCCCTCAAAGCTACTAGACCATTCAGTAAGATCATAGCTGATTTGTTTATGTGTTGAATATCATCCCATTTCTCATCTACAGCCAATAATCGCAAATTCTTATTACGCAAGAGAATCTATTTCCAACTTCAAAATATTCATAATGCCACTTCCAGCACCTCCTGAGGCAGAGAATTCCAAATAAGAGAAAATAAAATCTCATCTCTGACCTAAATAGATGACCTCTAATTTTAAAATTGTGCCCCTGGTTCTGGACCCACCTACCAAAGGAAACATCCTTTCCACATCTACCTTGTCAAGGTGGTTCAAGGTCTTACACACTTCAATCAAGTCACCGCTCACTCTTCCAAACCCAGTGGAATGAGTCCAGTCTTTCTTCATAAAACAACCCACTCACTTCTAGGTATCAATCTAGTAAAAAAACTTCCTGAACTGCTTCCAATGCACTTTCAGCCTTAGATGTGCAAATTACATCCCTTAATATTGTGCTTAATGTATCAGGTTAATTAAAAGGGTATGTTGATTACGTAGTTAAATACAAAAAGAAAGACGGATAATGTCTGAGCAGAAAAGTTAAATTTGAAATGACTGGCAAGTAAATCACTGCTCACAAGCCGAAGAGAATATTGCTCTGAAAAGTGATGGGAAAAACATGTCATTAACCGCTACTGCCCTCTGGTGGAAAGTTCAACAAAACTGCGGAAGCTCATTTTGGTCTTCCAGTAGTGATATTCCAGGATTTTAGGAAACATGTGCTCACATGATGTTTAAAGGTGAAGACTAAAGCACTATGATTGTTATGTAATACACAAGGGAAACAGATTCAATTTTAGAGGTATCAACTCAGGTGACCAGTGGAGCTTTAAAATTTATCAGTAGTGATACAAAGAATATTAAATACAGGCCTGCATCTGTATTCCTGATATTAATAGGAAATTTGCTGGTGTCTCAACATATTGCGCAGGTTCAATCTCTCTTTGACAAGTTTCCCACCTGAAAGAGAGCAGAACTGTCAGGCAGACAGGGATAACTCCAGGCCTGACCATAGCAGCAAGTAGTAAGCCTATAGCTGCTCCTAAAATCCCAGAGGTGGGTTAGAGGGTTCTGTTACCCAATCCCATGAGTATTTGATTGAGAATATCTGATACAGGCAGAGCTTGTGAGGAAGCACTCATATTACTACAACAGAAGTAAATCTGAAATCCGCAGATCAGAAGTAAAAACAAAGCGTTGGAGAAACAAGTCCAATATGAAGAGGAGTCATAGTACACTTGACACATTAACTCTGTTTCTCTTTCTCTCATGAGATGTTGCCAGGCCTGGTGAGTTTCTTAGCACTTTTATGCTTATTGCACCCCTGTTTCTCTTGGTCCACAAGTAGTGCTATAAAGACAACGATCTTCTGACATGAAACTGTCCACCCTCCCTTCAGTTGCCGGGTTTCCCAAGATCTGGAAAACCCACCCATCCACAATTACATCTGCAAAGTGCATTAAATTAAAGATTGCTGGTCTTATTAAAATTTAATAGCTACCTTTGTTGACAACACACTCGACCTTGACTTGCATCCATAAGATTCAAGATTGAGGTATTTCCATTTTAGTATCTAACCTGACCACATCTGTTTTGGGTGGCTTATAATTCACCTTGTATTTCATCTCTCTCTCATCACACTGTACCTCTCCAACTCAGAACAACAAAACTCATTTTCCTGAAACATAGCTTTACATTACATAAACTAACACAACTCCATAATTCATTAATTCTGACGTCTTGCCTTGGCTACTGTGTGAAGCACTTTATAAATGTAAATTATTTATGTGTTTCAAAAGCAAAATGGACGCAAATCCTTTGGTATCCATGTTGTCAAAATCAGAAATTAAGTTGGAGGTTTGCATCTGACCCTCACCTCCCGATGTCCTGACACAAACATATGCTCTAATTATCCAGGAAGGTTAAATTTCTAATGAATTGATTTCCACTGCTTTGGACACTGAGCAGAATTCTCCTGAGCTCAGTGTCAGATGCTTAAGCCAGATATGCAGGACTTAGCTGGATAAGTAGCCAGGAAGTATTACACTGCATGATATCTGGTCTAACAGATTAGCCAATAGAATTGAACTCGGTACCACAACCCACCCACCCACCCACCCAATCATATCACACCCTCCCCAATCAATATGACCCTCTCTTCCACCACCTCCCCTTCGAACCAACCCCATCTCACCACTCCCCACCCCAAAACCTAGCTCAACTACCCCCGACCTGATCAGAGCCAACTATGGCCTTGATTTGATCAGAGTCTCTTGCCACCATCATTCTCCAAATAACCACGCTCCCCAATGTCAGCATCCTGATTCTCTTTCTCCCATGAATACTCACCCACCCCAATCCAAGTACACCCGTGACCCCGCCCGTCTCACTACCATCACAAGCTGATCAGAGTGCTCATCCACTCACTCACCCACCCTACCCATTCCATGACACAAAACCTTTAAAAAAAAACTTACCTGATTATCACAGCCGATTAATGACATAAAATGACATCTGCTCAATCTTCTGCACGAATGACTGCACTGGTCCATGCAGTCATAGGGAGGATCTCAAACAATGACGAGACAGAATAAAGGGAAAAGATTGAGTCCTTAGCTGCATGGCGTAAAGACAACAGTCTCTCCAAGAACTTCAACAAAATAAAAGAGCTGGTCATTAACTTCAGGAACCGGGGTGGAGGGCACCCCCCTATCTGCATCAATCGTGCTGAGGTGGAGATGGTTGAGAGCGTCATGTTCCTGGAGTGATGATCACTAACAATCTGTCCTGGACCACCCACACCAACGCTATGGTCAAGAATGCACAATGCCTCAGGGGGCTAAGAAAATGGACTTTTACCAATTTTACAGATACACCATAGAAAGCATTCTATCTTGATGCATCGCAGCATGGTTTGGCAACTGCTGTTCCCAAGACCACAAGAAACTACAGAGAGTCGTGAACATAACCCAGTCCATCACACAAACCAGCCTTCCATCCATTGGCTCCATCTAGAATTCCCGTTGCCTTTGGAAAGCAACCAACAACATCAAAGATTGCTCCACCCTGGTAATACTGTATTCCACCCTCTTTCATCAGGCAGAAGATACACAAGTTTGTATACACATACAAATAGTTTCAAAAACAGCTTCTTCCCTGCTGTTATTCGAATTCTGAATTGACCTCAAATTTTAAATTTAATGTTGATCTTGCTCTCTGTGCACCTTCTCTGCAGCTGGAACATTGTATTCTTTGCTCTGTCCTATTACCCTATGAACTTTGTATGGTACGATCTGCCCGTACAGCAGGCAAAACAGAACTTTTCACTGTACCTAGGTACGTGTGACAATAATAAATCCAATTAAATCAAATCAGGATTGGAATCCTGACTGGAATAATGCAACATTGTCAGGTGCAGAAATCTTCACAGGCAGTGGTATCATGCACAATACTGATGCAGACTGGAAAATCTGGACCTTGATTTTTGAGCTAGTTAATCTCTTGGAATGCTACAAATACAGCCAGTGACCCTGAGCTATAAGAGAAATGATATTGGAAACGGTTCCCATCTCTGATCACTTCTAAACTCATGGATACACTGAAGCCTTGCCCATTGAGGGCTTCAGGCTCAGTGAAACATTGCAACAGCAGACACAGCACAGCAACTAAAATAACTATAATGGGCAAAGTTTTATCTATTCACTAAGCAAATACACATTATGAGAAAGAAATAATTTTGTTCTAAACTTTACCATAGTTCAAGGTTGACATTTTTTTCTTACATCTGCTGAAAACAATCTGCAAGTTATAAATCCTACAACACAGTAAATGGTCAAAGACATTATTTCCTGAAACTCTAAACCTCCCAATTAAACATGCCACTATAGCTGCACCATGCATTCTGTAAGAGGATTCAACCATACAAAGTTCCAAACAATTAAATATTAGCATTTCAGGCTTCCTTTTCCACCCTTTGAAATTTAGAATTTTGATAAAAGTCAGATTTATATATCAAAACTAAGTCCAAAAAATCCACAGTGAATGAATGTTACACCTTTTCTGGAGTTTTATTTTGTGCAGGATTTTTAGTTCACTCATGCCATTATGGATATTTACCTGTGCAGGGAAAAACCAGAAGAAAAGGTTGCTGTTGTAGGTCTTATTCACTGTCAAAAAACCAGAGTAGCTCTTCACAACTGGGCCTTCTCGTGGGCTGACCAAACTCAATTCTCTAGCTGAAAAAGAAATGTGAACAGAGTTAATACTTCTACACAAAAGTCTGAAGTGACTCTATGTTTGTTCAAAGGTCAACATTTCTTCGTGGCTTTCAACTTAGAAAACATAAACAAACTTCGTTCAAACACAACTTAAAAAACAGCTTTGAATAAAAAAAACTGTATCCAAAACAAGATTAGGGAGTATCGCAAGATATTCCATAAGTATGTCAAGGAGAAAAGAATAACCAGGGAAAGAATGGAGTCTGTTAGGGACTAAGGGGGCTAGGTGTGTTTGAACCTAGAGGACAATGATAGAGTTTTCACTTCACGTCTTACTTGGGAGAAAGAGGATGCAAATACAGAATTGGAGAAGGTGGACTGTGAAATTCTTGAACAGATTCATATAAGAAGTAAAGCGGTATTAGAGGCTTTGGCATGATTTAAAAGTGGACAAATCCCCATGTCTGTTTGAGTTGTATCCCAGGCTGTTCTGGGAGATGAGACAGGAAAGTACAAGGGTTCTGACCCAAATTGTTAAATCATCTTTGGCCATAGGAGAGGTGCCAGAGGACTGAAGAGCAGCTAATGTGGTTCCACTTTACAAGGAGTGTGGTAGAGATAGACTAGGAAACTACAGATATGTGAGTCTAACCTCATCGGTAGAGAAACTTTTGCAGAAATTACTGAAGAAACAAATTAATCTCCATTTAGAGAGGCAAGATTTGAACTGGGATAGTCAGCATGCCTAATAAATCTAGTGGAATTTTGAGGAAGTGATGAGGGTAAGGCAGTTATGTAGTTTATATGAATTTTAGCATGACCTTTGACGAGGTCCCACATGGGAGACCGATAAAGGTCAAAACACATCGGATTCAGGGAAACTTGGTAAGTTTTATCCAAAATTGACTTAGTGACAGGAGATGGAGGGTGGTAGTTGAGGGCTTTTTGTGTGACTTGGGCCCATTTGCAGTAGTGTACCAACAGGGAATCAGTGCTAGGTCCCTTATTCATTGTCATTACATCGTTTATGAAAATCACAATGTGGGGGCAATGATAATTAAGTTTGCAGATGACACAAAGATCGGCGGGGTGGTTGACAGTGAGGATAAAGGTATTAGGTTACCGTAAGATATAAACGGATTCGTCAGATGGACAGAATTTAACCCTGATAAATGTAAGGTGATGTACTTTGGAAGAGGGAACAAGAGAAGGGAGTACTCAATGAATGGTATGACACTAAGAAACTGAGAGGAAGGGAGGAATCTTGGGGGGGCTTGTGCAGGTTAGTTGGATAGGCCATGCTAAATTGCCCACAGTGTCCAGGGATGTGTAGGTTAGGTGGATTAGCCATGGGAAATGCAGGGTTATGTTGGTTTGGCGGGGTGGGGTGGGCAGTGATGCTCTTCGGAGCTGGTGCGGACTTGTTGGGCTGAGTAGCCTGTTTCCACAATGTAGGGATTCGAAGGACAAGAAACAGCCTCAGTGGGTGTGACCAAGCTCCCACTCTCAGATCAGAACCAGAATTTTTAGTTCAGCTTTCAGCAGTTGCTGTTGGGCTCTGGAAGAAGTAAAAGCTATTTTTTGTCCCTCTCTCGGTTACAGCCAAAAGCAGGAGTTCTCTGCCTGCTGTGGGAGTGCATATGAGACAATCTGTTTTCTGAATTTGCCTTTTGCCAAGGGTGGGATTATGTGATGTTATTATATTGGAACAGTCACCATTTGGTAGTAAAATAATGTCTTATTCTGTTAAGTTCTCCAGTAGAGTTAAATTATTTCATGTTCCTCTTTCTTTTGTTAGATTTTAACTTTTGTGTTTAAATGGTGCTTTGATTAATATCAAGTAGTTTGACCAATTGAATTGCATCTGGAACACAGCACATCACAGTTACCTTTAAATTAAGAAAATGTTTGGGTCTAGGCTACCTTGTTAATATACTTTGAGAGAGTTTGATCTGGTTCATAACAATAGGGTGGTTAAGGCAGCATATGGGACACTTGCCTTTATCAATTGTGACATAGATTATAAGTCATGTTGGAGAGGTACAGAACTTTAGTGAGGCCACAGTTGGAGTACTGTACACAGTTCTGGGAGTTTTGGTTACAGCACTACAGGAAGGATCGGTGCAAAGGAGATTCACCAGGATGTTGGACAGATTTCAGCTACGAAGCCAGGTTGAATAAGTTCGGGTTTTCTTCTTTGGAGCAAAGAAGGTTGACGGGGGACCTGATTGATGTACACAAGAGTGGCACGGAAAAGGTGAATAGAAAATAGCTGTTCGCCTTAGTCGCATGGTCAATAATTATTATGTAAAAGGCAGGAGGTTTAGAGGCAATTTAAGGAAAACGTTTTCACCCAGAGGGTGATAGGTGTCTGAAATATGCTGCCTGAGAGGGTAGATGAGGCTGGAAAATCTCACAACCTTTATAAAATACTTGGACGAGCACTTGAAGATAGCCTTGAATGTTATGTGCTTATGAGCCCAGTGTGGGCAAGAGGGACTAGTGTAGGTACAAGTATACTTTTGGCGGTATAGACTTGATGGGCTGAAGGGCCTCTTCTACACTGTATGATCCTATGATTCTAAAGCCATTACTCAGACATCGCTAAATAAAGTCCACTTTATTACACTGAATTTTAGCATTTTCAAATTAGTGCCTTAGTATCAAATTGCAAAATGTGGTCTGCAGTTTAAGGTTACAGGAGGAGGGATTCATCTGCTCAACAGCAGTTGAAAGCCTCATCTATGCCTTTGTTATTTGTTAACTGCACACTTGACTATACCAATACACTTTTGGCCAGTATCCTTCTTAAACTTAACTCATCTAGAAAACTCTTCTGCAAATTTTCTAACTCTCACCTAGTCTCATTTACCCATCACTTTCTCACTGACTTACACTGGTTCCTGGATGAGTAATGCCTCAATTTTAAAATGCTCATCCTGTTCTTAAAAGCCACTCCTCATTGATCTCTATTACCTTCTCCAGCCCTACAACCCCCTCGAAATATCTCCAACACTTCTTAGTTTATGCATCCCCAATTTTAATTGTTTCACCATCAGTTGTGCCTTCCAGTGATAGGCTCAAAGCTCCAGAATTCCCACCCTAAACGCCTCTGCTACACTACTGCTTTTTCTCCCTAAAGTTGCACCCTAAAACATACTTTGCTAACCAAGCTTTTTGCTCATCTGTCCTCATAAGACCATAAGACATAGGAGCAGAAATTAGGCCATTTGGCCCATCGAGTCTGCTGTGAAGTTCTTTGGAAAACTTTACTACATTAAGGATGTTTTCTAAATGTAGTTGTTGTTTAAAAGAACTGAACTACTTGACAATTTCTTCCTCTTCCATTTCTAATGCTTTTCTACATTTCTAATGCTTGACAAAGTACATGAAAATGATTCAAACCTTGGTCAACATTCTGAAAATACTGCAATTTCACTCATTTTAGCTTGGCAACAGAAATGTTCAGCTAAATTATATTGTAATTATAATGGGGTCTAGCTGAAACCTATTAGCCTCTCATTCATATTCAGAATGTTTTCATAATTAAGTACAAAGGAAACTGACTAGAAGATGATAAAAAGAAATCAGGAAGTTCCAATTGTACTCTTCTAAATTGGAGTTAAACAGTTTCATGTTTGTAATTATAATCGACTGTCGATCAAAGTTTATCTCACCTTTCTCAATTTCTCCAGATTCCAGATACGGAGTGAGAAAGAGGGGTTTCCCAGGGTCTACTAGTGAGGGTGTAGAAACTTTGACATCCTTAAACATTTGACGGAGAAAAGTGAACCTTCCAGACATACAGCATGGCTGAATAGAAACGAGTGCAATGAGGAATAGTCGTGTTTGCCACATCCTAAATGAAATGGACAGAGAGGTTGTTTAGTCTTAGGAAAAAAAAATGCTTTGCATTTCTGTGTCATAGAGCTACATTGTGGTAAAATCAACTGTAGTTAAACAGCCTGATACAAAACAATTAATAAGATTGATTGTAAAGTAAATAATGGATGCTTTATAAATCAACATTAAAAAAGATGACATACATCTACCAGCAATTATGTATTTGAATTAATAATCCCCTTTCCATCCTGTCCAAAGCAATCCTAATGTACATGAATCAATTGCTGTACTCAGAATTTATCATTGTTATTAATCGCATGACTTCAAAAATATTGCTGATATGAAATGAATCCATGGAAAAATCAATTTCCATGCTACAGTGTTATCACAGTCACACAGCACGGAAACAGACCCTTCGGTCCAACCACTCCACGCTGACCATGTTCCCAAACTAAACTAGTCCCACCTGCCTATGCTTGGCTGTATCCTTCCAAACTTTTCCTATTTGTGAACTTATCCAAATATGTTCTAAACATTGTAACTGTAGCTGCATCCACCACTTCCTCTGGCAATTCATTTCACATACTAACCACTCTATGTAAAAATGTTGCCTCGCATGTCCTTTTTAAATCTTTCTCCTCTCATCTTAAAAGTATGCCCCCTAGTTTTGAACTCCATCACCCTAAGGAAAGGGCACCCGCTATTCACCTCATCTATACCTCATGATTTTATAAATCTGAGGTCACCCCTCAACCTCCAATGCTCCAATGAAAAAAGTCCCAGCCTATCCAGCCCCTGCTCATAACTCAAACCCTCCATTCCCAGCAATATCTTGGTAAATCTTTCCTGAACCCTTTCCAGTTTAATAATATCCTTCCTATAACAGAGTGACCAGACCAGCTCACAGTACTCCAGGAAAGGTTTCACCAACATCCTGTACAACCTCAAGATGACGTCCCAACTCCTTTATTCAATGATCTGTCATGCAGCGTGTACTCTGCCAAAGGCAGATCCTCAGCTATTTGTCCACTGATGTTTCATTTCGAGCCATTTTATTTGCATCAATGAGCAGTGATGGCTCGCCACTGTCTTCTATTCTCAGGGCAGCGTTAGGAGGCACATACCAAGTTTACCTCAGCTACAGCAAGAATTGAACCTGCACTGATGACATTATTCCGAACCCCATGTCAGGCTATGTAGCCAACCGAGCTGCTCAGCTTCCATTACAACACTGGATAGAGGGAAGCAGTAAAAGGTGAGAATTAAGCAGCAATATTAAAAAAAAAATTAAAAACCATCAACATTAGAAGAGCCAAAGGAAATAATAACATGTAGCTAGAAATCACTTTTTGGACTGAGTAAGTAGTCTTCTTTTCTAACCACTAAAACAATGTATTTATTGTTTGCTAACAAATCAGGAATTAATATGGACAGAGACATATGTGGCAGCTGCTTAAGACTAACTCTTGGCTTGTATGTTCCAGGTTTCAGCTCATTTTTCTTAACGTCTTGAGCCAGAATCTACTGTAGCTGTTCAGCATTCATTGATCATTAGATTTAATGATTCACGGGATTTCCATGATTTTACTCTGCAAGTTATTGCCATGGGAGATGGAAATGACACTGTGCTCTCTACAGGGCATCTGGGATCTGTGCGAACAGAACAACTAACTGTGCATCTCCGGAATCAGACTGAAGTACCTTAAATGAAGAACACAAAGTCTGAATCTGGAAATGCAAATAGTAAATTCAACATCAAATCAGATACTGAAAGTGAACTAGAAAGGAAAATTAGCACTGGATTAAGTGCAAGTATACAAGAATTAGAGAAGATCAGAATTTTTGCATGTGACACACATGTAGTATCTAGCATTGTGAGTTAGAAATCCTGGTCACAATTTTAACTATGTCATTGGTCATTGCAGATTGAAGATAGTCATCTTTGAGAAGTAGACGTAATCAGAGGCAACATTAAAAATGGTACCTGCAGATCACAATTCTCAAACATGATCCAAAGATCTCAGACTGCACAAGGGCTTGGAGCAGATTTCCTCGCACCTCAAACTGTCAGTAATACTACCTTTCTTGGATGTTATTGGGATGGGGGTGGTAGGGATAAGGTTTGAATAATTCTACCACATTAATATTCTCCTAATATATTTGAGTAGTAAGAAAATCAGAATAAAGGTCTGTGTTTAGACATTCCATTGCCCTTCCTGTCAGACCGCTTCGAGTCCCATGGTAGGAGGACTGTGCTAAACTGTCATTTATATGTAATGTGAATGCTGACTGCTCACATGACTTGGATATTGTTCTGTTTCTGATGTTCCCCACACAGGTTTATTGAAGTCATCATTACCAAGTTATTGATAGGTTAAATAAGTGGGAAGAAAGATGGCAAACGGAGATATTGTGACAAAATGTGAAGTTGTTTATTTTGGATTTGAGAACAAAAGAAGAGAGAGAGTGTTATTTAAATGGAGAAAAACTACAGAAAGCTGCAACACAAAAGGGACTCGGCAGGCACTTGTGCATGAAACACAGAAAACTAGCAGACTGATGCAGCAGTAAACAGGAAGGCTAGTAGAACATTGGCCTTTATTTCAAAGAGGTTGGAGTATAAGAGTTGGAAACTCTTACGGCAACTGTACAAGGCACTGGTGAAACCACATAGATCATAGAATCCCTACAGTGCGGAAACAGGCCCCTCAGCCCAACAAGTCCACACCAACCTTCACAAGAAACCCACTGCTGACTAAATAAGTACCACACCGATTATCGAGAGACCTCCGCTGCAGCCCCAGCTACAAGCAGGTCTGCTCAGTAACTGTTCTCCCCAACTTGGTGCCCAGGTATGGTATCATAGAATAGTAGAGTAAGCAAAACAGAGATAGAAAGTAAAAACAAGGGTGGAAATGATAATGAAATACACTTCAACGTTTTTTTTGAAGGAGTAAGTCAAGAAAAAGAAACAAACAAACACAGTAATCAACTTTTAAATTCAGGACTTTCAAAATGTTTAACTAATTGCAAATTACATGGCAATTCCTACCAAGATATGAATTTACTCACTTAAACTTCTGACCAACTAAGGAATATAAAGCAAGACTCTCCACAACTGTGGAAAGGATGCACATGTATTATCTTAACATGCCAAAGTTAAGTTCCATAATGTGACTTATGTAGAGATCTGCTGCCCTTGACTTGATTCAATGTAACGTTCAGGAGGGCAATGCCAGAAGCAACAGCTGGCACACAGAGTATGCCAAACAGCTCAAGCAGCAAGTGATGGATAGAGCTAAGTGATCCCACAACTAATGGATCAGATCCAAGGTCTGCAGTCTTGTCACATCCAGTCATGAACTAGTTCCCTGTAATAATCTTTCCCAATGTACAAACATCCACGGTCTGTGCATGATGACGGCTTCAGAACTGGAAGTCAATGTGTTGTCCTGCCAGTGGAACCTCCGAGCAACTGCACCGCCACATGGCTTACACGGAACTTTGTGCCTCAAATTTACAACCAAACAACTGGAGGAGAAGTCTTCACAAAGATAGCCAATGATGGGGGAACCCAGCATCTCTGCAAGAGACATGGCTGAAGCATTTGCAAGCATCTTCAACCAGAAATGCCAAATGACGATCCACCTTGGACTCCTCCCAAGGTTCCATCAACGCACGTCAGACTTCAGCCTATTTGATTCCTCCATGTGGTAGCAAGTAATGGCTTAAGGTAAAGGACACTGCTAAAGGCTCAGAGCCCTGACAACATTCCAGCAACAGAATTGGAGACTTGTGCTCCAGAGCTAGCTCATGCCTAGCCAAGTTGTTGCAGCACAGATACAGCACTGTCAATGTGGAAAATTATTCAGGTATGTCAGTCAACAAAAGTAGGTCAAATCCAACATAACCAATTGCCACCCCATCAGTCTATTCTCAATCAAAGTGATGGAAGGTGCCATTAACAGTATTATCAAGTGACACTTAACTGCTCACTGACACTCAATTTGGGTTCAGCCAGGGTGATTCACTTTCTGACTTTATTACAGTCTTGGTTCAAACATAAACAAAACAGGGGAAGCGAGGGTGACTGCCCTTAATGTTCAAGGAGCATTTGACCAAGTGCTCCACCAAGGAGACAGAGCAGAACTGGAGTCAAATCCCTCTGTTTGGAGTAATAGCTGTCACAAAGGAAGATGGTTGTAGTTACGGAGGTCAATTATTTCAACTTCAGACATCTCTGCAGGATTTCCTCATAAATTCAGAAATAAGGATATTCACTGATGATTGCACTATGTTCAGCATCATTTGAAACTCCACAGACACTGAAGCAATTCTTCATGTGTCCACATGTGGCAAGACCTGGACAATATTTTGGCTTGGACTGATAGGTGGCAATAACAGTCGCGCCACTGAAGTGCCAGACAATGACTATTTCCAAGAAGTGTCAATCTAACCATTGCCCCTTGACATTCGATGACTTCAATATCAATAAATTTTTCCATTATCAACATCGACCAGAAACTGAAATTGACTAGCTATTTAAGTGGCTATAAGAGCAGGTCAGAGGCTGGGAATTCTATGTACGTAACTTGATGCCTGATTTTTCAAAGTCTGTCCACCATCTACAAGTTACAAGTCAGGGGTGTCATGAAATACTCTCCACTTGTCTGGATGACTCCATTTCCAACAACATTTAAGGAAGCTAAACACCATTCAGAACAAAGCAGCCTGCTTGACTGGCATCCTACCTAATGCCTTCAACATTCACACACTGCACCACTGACACAGTACTGGCAGTATGTACCATCTACAAGATGCACTGCAACAACATACTGAGTCTTCTGTGACAACAACTTCCAAACATTCTCTACAACCTAGACAAAAAAGGGCAGCAAATACATGGGAACATCACTAACTTCAATTTCTCCACCTTGTCACTGTATTGCCATTCCTTCACAGTCATTAGGTCAAAATCCTGGAACTTCCTTCCTAATAGAACTGTGATTATAGGTA